CCCCAAAACCCCAAAACCCCAAAACCCCACATCGAAGAATTCAGCTCTAGATAGTTGAGAAGTTATTTTTTAAATAATTTAAAATATTTGAATTGATTTTTAAATGTCTATTAGTTATCAGCAGTAGCACTAAGTCACTGTTAACATTAGACCCAAATCTAAAAACATAATTAACAATATCAACAAGGAAAACAATCATTAGATGAATATAGAGTCTACTAAATTCAATGATATTTAGCAGTCATCGCAGTATGTCGAAGCTTACGATAAGAGAAATGAATATGCTTTTAATATCGGAGGAGGCTTTGGATAAAATTATCATAATTAATCACAATAGTATATTCAGGGATATAAGCCAAGCTAGCAGCAATACGTTGAGAGCAAAATGGACACAAGTTAATTTAGAAATTAAAACGATAATTCGCGAATAATGCAAAAATAGACTTTTACATATCTTCCTCAAAGCGACTCTCAAAATACAACTCATATAATGCATCAGGCTTCGGCTAGCCATTCATTTTCAATTAGAGATGGAATTTATGAGGGTAATACACCAGATCGTTCTAAGCATCCTAGATCTGACACTCTTGATTCAAACGGAAATGCTATCAGAGGAAGGAAAATTGATAGTCCGCAGCTAGTAGTAGTCAGAGAATTAAGAGATTAAGAGGATAATGAAGAGGGCACAGCGGGCTTAATAGATGATGAGGCTATAATTTAGGCATTTCACTCAGGCAGCGATGATAATGATTTGCATAATTATAGAAGGAAAGAAAGAAACAGTAGTGAAAATAAAAAGAGAGGCATGTTCCAAGTCAATAAATAAAACAAGATTAAGAGTAAAAGTCTTGAAAACAACAAGAGGAAAAGTAAGTCCCAATAAAGATATCAGCTGTAAAGGCCAAATGGAGATTTAAAATAATAATTGAACACTGATGGAAACCAGAATAGCAATCCATCTAAGCTGTAGAAGCAAAAGAAGCTAAATTAGGTTATGAAAAATACAAAGAGCACAAGAGAGATTAGATCTTCTATGGGCTTCAACGAATTACTAAACTAGCTTGATAAAGATATCTCACTTTAGCAAAGCCATCAACATGATTTTAAGAATAGAACTACACATGATCTTCTTAAATTAGAATTGTCTGGAATTAGAAGATAAAACAGTTCGGGCGCCAACTTGATTCTTTAGAATAATAATAACATCAATAAATTTTAAGAAAAAAGCTAGCCAAAGAAGAGTTCAAAGCTAAAATAGCAATTGTAGAGTAAGAATAGTAAAGAAGATTAATCAAGGTCGTAGGAGAGAAAAGCTAAAAAGGCAAAGTAAAATGTCAACAACAATATTGCTCAAATACCTAAGTCAATCCTTAAGAAGCCAAAGCCAGAATTCATAATGAAAGATTAAATATTTCAATACGCTATAAACGAGATAACTCCTGATAAGAATCAAAATCATCAAGGTATAAATACAACTAGTTTCTTGCACAGTGAGCATGGCCGTAGAGCTGGGAATAATCAATCTAACGTTTAATAAAATGGCAAGAATAAAAGCCAAAATTTTACTGTGTCTAATAATATCAATGTGTTGTTCAGTAAAATCAAGGTTAATGGAAAAAGCCAAATCCAAAGCTAATAAAGTCAAAAGAATCAAAGAGATTAGAGTAGCCCTGATAGATAAGTTAAAGAATTCAAAACATATCAAAATATGAACATCAATATAGATAAACTAGTTAGATAAAACATTAAAAAGATGAGATCAAAAGAAGATGAAGAAAAGCTTATGAAAATGATGACTGATGATCAAATAAGAAGAAGAAAAGAGTAGTTAGAGTAGAAAAATAGTTAAGTCAGAAAAATGAACAAAGAAAAAACCTATCGCAAGACTAATAACATCCTATCTTCAAATAATATCTAGCCAAACTACTAGTAATCTTAAGATATGATGTCTTCTGACAAACTTATAAGATAAACTAGTTAGAACAACAATAATCCGAATGTCAACAAAATATTCTAAGATGAAAAGTTAAATTAAATTCACCAAAATATGATGCAAAGAGATGTATTTATGTAAAAGACTTCTTAGACACAGAAGATTGACTTCAACAAGATCAAAGAAGTAAAAACTGGGAGAAATCTTCGAGTTAAAAATCATCGGAAGAGTTACGGGTTAGAATTTATAGATATCAAAAGGGAAATTTAGGAGGAACTGAGGACAATTGACTTGAAATATAAAAATAACTTTAATGAAAAGATCATTGAAGAGGACAACTACCTATTTAAAGATTTGGACTAGCCAATGCCGCCCAAGAGACTAAAGATTAAATCCTAGAAAAAGATTATTACAGCAATTAGAGATGAAAACTATCCGATTATAAATGTGAATGTACCTGGTGAGTAGTTTATTTCTGAGAGAATACAGCCAATAAACAAGATCATTGTAGTGAAGAAAAACAAAATAAGGAAATTTATGAAGCAAAAGAAGAAGTACATCATTATTCAAAAGATTAAAGAGCAGAAGGATGAAATCATCAAGACTATCAAAATGTAAGAAAACATTAGTAAGCTGAATGAGTTCTGCAAAAAGAAGTTAGAAAGGTAAAATATGAAGAAAAGAAATGCAACTATCTAGGTTAATGATGACTAAGAAGATAAAAAAGAATTAAGTAAAATTAGTGGAAGGAAAATATTGTTTGATAATATAGACTTTAAGAAAACCATAAACCCGAAAGGAAATGAAAAACTAGATTAGACAATGGATAAGGATGACAGCAGTCGACTATCCACTGAGTTCTACGAGGAATACTACCGCCTAATAAATTCAATTAAAAAAGAGCAGTAAGTTCATCATCATGCTAATCATTCTATTACTTCTAGAATGGACATGTCGAGTCAAAACATCACTCAAAAAAGCATCAAGAATTTACTATCTTCTCCCGGCAATAACAGATCTTAATCCCCAAAGACTCAGCTTTCCAACACACAGGGTCTTATCACTTCTCCTAAGTAGAATCATCAAAAAGATAAGTCTATTAGTAAGAAAAGCAAATCAAAGAGCAATATCAAGAGTCATAACAATGTGAATGAAAATCCGATATTGAATATCCTTACCAATCATACAAATACTGGATCACAGACTAATATCTCTAAGTAAAATAAAAATTAGTAGAAGAGTACTGAATCTTTGAAAACTAATCTAAGAGCTGAGAGCGCACCCTTGACTTAGATTATATAACCAAATTCAATTAAAAAGAGGAGTGGTCAAGTAAAAAAGACTTCCCCTAATAGATAAGGTAAAGAAAAGGAAAAGTCAAATACATTAAAAAAGCAATAGAAGCAAGCTCTATACTAGGCTCAGCAAATATAGTTTATAAACAATTAAGTCGCCAAAATTTAGTTGTATTATAGATTCCATCTTTACAACAAAGGATTTTATAACAAGAATCATCAATCTAACAATTAATAGAATCAAGATTAATAAGAATATCTTTCAGACAAGCAGTACTAATCTAATGAGGACTAATACCAGACCTAGATATATTAAGGATCTAATAAGAATCAAGATAGCACTATTCAACTCCAAGACATTCGTCTAGATAGTGAAGAGCTACCAAAGCAGTATACACAGTCTGACCTGATTAAGCATTAGGATTTCAGCAACGAGGATGAAGATGACTATGATGATGAGAATCATAATGATGAAGCAAGCAATAACATCATCATTATCAACTAGTAATCGTCTAATGACAAAAAAGTAGTCTACATGAGCAACATAAACAGTTGCTCTTTGCCTCAGAGTCCAAAGCCTGAAGATCCTTCTTCAGTTGGGCAAAGCAACTAAGGTTAGAGTTTAAATGAATTGCAAAGAGTATTTGAGTACAGGCCTCAGAGTCTGCTTGACCAGAATAGATTCTTCTCCCACGATCTGTCAGGCAACGATCAAATTCATCAGTCAATATCTTGGAAACCTTCCCTCTAATCTCATAGCAGTGAGATAAGAATTGTAGACGATAAGTTCAAGCAAGCCTTGAAGGAGGTTAATTAGAAAGAAGTGCCAGTCAATAATAATGAGGAATCAAAGATGGGTGAGTACGGCATGAGAATGTTTACTGGCAGTGAAAGTCTACTAAGAGAATTCAAAATGAATACACCTAAGCAATCAACAGCAAAAAAGTAGGAAATTATTTCAAGTTAAACCAGTTTGAGGTAGATGATATCATCTCATGAATCATAGCCATCATCTAATATCAAAGTTGAAAGCATTCAGTAACTCTAGTAGAAATCTATCTAAAATTCAAAGTCATCTTAACCAAATGAAATAAACAGTCATTCATCTCAATCCCTTTTTGAAAGAAATTCATTCTAATAGTTCACTAAGTAGAAGTTACAAGAAATGATGAAGAATAATGAGTTTATGAATCTTATCTAAATGAGAGAGAAAGCTTTAGAATACAGACAACAAAAAGAAAGGAAATTCATTAAGAAGATGTTTAAAAACAAGCAGTACTCGCCCAGAACATACTCTTAAAAGAGAGAATAGCTTGAAAAGTGGGTGATCCTAGAAAAAGAAGATATTAATAAGACTAAGAAATAGTTTCAAGAGGAGTGGTAGAAGACTCTTCAGATGATTGAGGATACTTAGAAGAATGTCGATGACATGAGACAAAAGATGAAGATTTAAATCGATAACTCTTCCAAGAATCATAATCAGTTTAATACTCATTCCAGTAGAAACTCGAGTTCTAGTTATGCTACTATTTCCAGGCAAGAACCGAGAAAGAGCATTCTTGAGATGGAAGAGTTCTAACCATTATCTCAAAGGAGTATGAGGTTAAGTGTGGGTTCATATAAAAATCACGACTAAAATAAATCAAGTCAAATGCATGAGTCGAGGAGACTCTTAGAATCCTAGGCAAAGAGTAATATGACCATAAACATCGAGGATTAAAAGCAAAATGAGTCTAAGCAAAAGGATGAGAACCTGCTAGACTATCTAGAGAAAAGCTGGGTTTAGAATTAGTAAGACTAGAAATAGACTAGACCACCAGCTATATCAAGATAAGGAATTTACATTGAGGATCAAAATAGAAAGATAAACTTGTCTCAGCTGACTGATAATACACCAGAGAGAAAACCTTTGCAATAAAATCTTTAACAAGAAAGCAATATTAATCAGTTCTAGTTCCAGCTGAATGATTAAAAGGAAACCACTGATGATAGGCCTCTTACCAGATCTAGATCAGAGTAAGATCTCTCAGAACTCCTTAAGAAAAACAAGATTAACTTCAATGATATTGACTTGAACTTATTGAATGATCCTAATATCTAAATTCTTCAGTAGTAGGACCTGGACTCCTATAGATTTGTGCCATTGAATCAGTCTAAAGATAATAAAAATGAGATCAAAATCCAGGAGAACCTCTTTGAAGACTCGAGCAATAGATACTCTAAGGGTAAAAATTACTACCAAGATATGAATGAAATGGGTAGTAACGACTCGCTACTAAATGAATCAGAGCTGAATAACTACTTCCAAGATTAGAAATTTTCAATAGAGGATTTTAAGTCACTAGATAAAAGAAAGATACTAAATTAACAAAGTAACTATGAGGATGATGATGAGCTACTAGAGAGAAATGACAGCAAGATCAAGTTGCCGTAAGATGACTCTTTAGGCAAGATGGAAGAATACTATAATAATAATAATAACTCAGCAAGTCAATTATTCCAGCCTAATGAGTCTTAGATTCGAATAAAAAATGACATTGGGGATTCAGAACCCTCATTCTTAGACTCTAGAAGGCTACTGGAAAGAGATAACGATAATATTTTAATGACGCCCGAAATAATCTAGCCTACTGCATTTATGCATCATTAGCAAGCTCTACTATTCCAAAATGCTAAACCTGGGGAGAATATTAAGATTTCTGATATTCTTAAGAAAAACTTAAGCATGAATGATCCCAATAGCTCTAACAGTTTTATGCTTGCTCAAGATACTTCATAGTTACTGTTCCAAAATGCTTAAATTAACCAAAGTATGGCAACACCATCACTTCAGCCTCTGATCTAAAATGACTATAATAATTTAGCCAATCAGTTAACTGATGATATTCTTCAAAGCCTATTGCAGCAAATGATATCTATTCCATAGAGATAAATACAACCATATCAAGATTACTAAGAGATTAATCAATAGTTAGCATAACATTAACAGTAGGAGTAAAATAGGGTTGAATAACCATCTATTTAAATATAATAAAGCGATCCAGCTCATGACGTATTTGTTATTGATGCTTAGATGAATGAAAAGGAAAACAGAAGAGAATCCGTTGAGTTCAGGCAAAGGATCTTGATTGAACAAGATTTGATACGAGTTGAGAATTATATAAATGAGGTAATACAGTCACTTTAGTAGGCTGAACTCCAGTATCTGACTATTTTAGCTCATAATCCAAGTCAAATTCACACTCAAGAGTCTAATTATCACAGATAGTTCCTATCGGTACTCACAACTCCCATTAGAAGAAACGAGCTTGAGTTGCTGAATCAATTATAAACTTCTGAGATAGGCTCTTATGAGCATTTTGAAACAGCAATGGATCTGAACTCTAACCCTATTTTACCAATAGATCTATATTTGGACATTGAAAGATAGAGAGAGGAATCCTAGATAAAGCTTCTATATCAAAACGGTGTATATGATGTTGATCTGGAAAGTAGTGTCTTGCAGGAGAGTACGCATATACATAATAAGTCAGTATTTGATTCATTAAATGAGAGTCTGATGAAGTTCAGACCCTATGGTATCTAAGGTGAACCAATGCCTTGGAGCAACAAGAATCGTCGGCTTCAGACTAAGGTAGACACAAATTCTGTGGATACTGAGAGGCTGTTTCACATGGTTAAGTAAGATGTCTTAAGATGGGCTCAAACATTCTCAGGATGCTCTCCATCCCCAATCTTTTTGTTTAAGAGATCCTAGGATGATAGTGAGCAGTTTGATGATGAATTGTTCCAGGAGACTAGGGAGAGAAGACTAGCTTAGATGCTTGCAACAGAGGTAGTGGAAAATGAGCACTAGTGGTTGAACTATGAATTCGAGGAGGCCCAGGTTAAAATTGACTTAAGTGACATGATTCTTGAACACCTCGTTGAGGAAGTGGCTCTATTCCTGAACTTCAAGCGTGGCTCAGTTATTCATAATGAATTTGAATGAGGAGAGCCAAGTTATATGATTGAATGAGTAGGTAGTATTTGTGAATCACTTCAATTATCTTATTTTACTTTAAAGTAACTTCGATAGAAGTCTAATTCAATTTAATTTACATTTATCTCCAATTTTATTTAACCTCAGCATCATGGGGTTTTGGGGTTTTGGGG